GTGTAAATATTTGTTTTTTCACCCAAACATATACTTGGTTGGGATATAAAAATGTCATGTGGCTCATGGGGTAAGGGTATCAGAGCTACATCAGTCAGTATCATCCCTTAGCCTTTGTTGCTTGGAGGAAGATGGCACAGGTGCCATGTGTGGAGGGTGCCAGCATGGCTCTCAGAGGGTGTCTGAGCTGTTTGTGTTTGCTGGCAGAGAAGAATGGAGTCAAGGGAAGAAGTGTAAGAGGAGGATTGGGTTGGGAATGAGGAGGATTGTCAACTTGATGTCTTAAAGATTTTAGCCTTTTAAACATGAATGAGGAGAGTAGTTATCATACAAGTGAGGTCTAGACCAGAAGAACGTGACAAATATGGGTTTATATTTCTCATTGGATAGGTGCAATCACGTTTTCACTTTGCCCTTCCTGGTCACTATGTTAATGGTGGATGGGAGAGGCCACCAGCACAGGACAGAGAGGAAGCCTGGAGCCTGCTGGAGTCATTTGAGGGAATACTGAAGAGGCCCTGGGGCATGATGGTTGAAAGGAGAAGAGGAAATCAGTTAGGGATGTGAGTGGGTCTGAAGACAGACTGGAAAGAATGTCAGTGATAAAGAGGAAATGGCAATATCATCAAAAAATGAGGGTGTAGGAGACAGACTTGGGGTGGGGGGTTTCATTTACAAATGTGTGCTTGGGCCATTACTGAGAAGGTTGGTGATGTGGGTTGATATACAAGAGTGGTCTGTGTGGGAGACTCAGTTGAGAACTGGACCCTAGCCAGAACAAAACCATACTCAGAATGGAGAAAGACGAGAGAGTGAGTGGTTCAGATATCAAGACAAGGAGGTGAACATTAGATTTTACATTTAAGAAGATATTGGGCGCCCAGAATTCAGTCTGGGAGACCAAGAATATGTCTTTGTCTGACATTGGTCATTTTCCTATAGAACAAATAAGCTGTACTCCAGTGACATGTGGTGAGGGTGAGGCTATGTCAGGACAGTAGCAGCCATTGAATTGGAACAGTGATGTTGGACAGCTGTAGCCCTGAGTGGAGGGGAAATTGAAGATGTGTGTGTGTGTGTGTGTGTGTGTGTGTGTGTGTGTGTGTGTGAGTGTTCCAGTGATGGAGAAACTCAGCATGAGTGTTATTATGTTGAACAGCTGTGTGTGATGGTCAGGGCTACAGACATAGTTTATAAACAAGTTGATTCTTACCACGAACTATGTAATTATTGCCCAGAGATCACATACTGAGGAAGCGTAGGAATGCTGTCCGAACAGCATAGCAGAGTTACAGATTGGCTCGCACTGGCCCCCTTGCTTTCTGCTCTTTTTTGCATTCCTCCTATCAGAATGTTGGCTTTTCCATTTTCTTCTCTTTCTCATGCTTCCCACATGCAATAGTCTCTTCTCCATTACAGCTTCCCAGATCTCGCAGCTGACTGCTCCCTCCTCAGGAAAGTCAGTGGCAAGATCTACTAAAAGAATACTTTCTCCAAGGTTGGATCAGCAGGACTCTACTCAGCCCTTTATAAATGAGCCATGCAATATGAGGTAGCATCTTTCCCTTTCCTGAACTGGGATATCCAAGGACATGGAGGTGCTTTATTAATTTGGGTAGATTTTTTTTTTAACCCAGCACAGGGCTCACCCATGTTATGTACCCAAGGCTTAAGGATGAACCCTTATCAAACTTGAAGGGCAGGTATACAGTTGGATGGGTAGGACACACCTAAGTCATGTAGAATCTGCTGTGAAGGAGACAAGGACCGGTATGTCCACCTCTCTTGGCAGGTCTGTGGAGGGCCTTGCCTAGGTGCTATAGAAACTCATTCTAGACTGGGGGGTACGATAAAAGGTGGATACACATGATTAAAACATCTTGTATAAATGTATAACAATTTCAAAGAATAAATAAAAAAAAACCCTCTCCCCACTGATAGCTTACACAGTGCAGGAAGGGGCTACATGAGCAGCTGGGCGAGGAGGCTTTGCCAGGTATTGGATTCTGAATACCACAATACTAACCTGCCAGGAAAGATGTGCTCACTGCTGCAATGGTGGCATGAAGGTTATGGGGGTAACCAACCACTCTCTTGATTGGGGCAAATTCATGTCTGACACTATAAACCTGCTTAAAAACTAATATATGGAGGTCATAGGCTCTAGGGGGACCTTACTATAGATGTTTTGTTAAATGGTCATGTCTACCTGCCTTCTAAATATTTATACTTATATGTTGTAGAATATTATTTTAGGATGTGTTACATTTGTTTGTGCTGTGGAACATCTGTTTAATGATGCAAAGATGTGTTGCACTCTTTTATGTTGCATTTGTTTAACTCTGTGAAGCTGCCTGTCTAAAACACTTGATGGTCTAATGCAGAGCTGAGTGGCCAATAGCAAAGCAGGAGAAAGGATAGGTGGGGTTGGCAGGCAGAGAGAATAAATAGAAAGTAAAATCTGGGAGAAGAGAAAGAAAGAACAAGAGAACAAGGAGAGGAGGACCCCAGGGGCCAGCCACACCGTCAGCTATGGAGTAAGAGTGAAAAATAAGATATATAGGAAAATAAGATAGGTAAAAGTCCACAGACAAAAGGTAGATGGGATAATTTAAGATAAGAAAAGCTGGCTAGAAACAAGCCAAGCTAAGGCTGGGCATTTATAATTAAGAATAAGCCTCTGTGTGTGGTTTATTTGGGATCTGGGTGGTGGGCTCCCACAAAGAATCAAAGAGTAAAAAAAAAAATTACCAACAACATTTTGGCATTCTAATGTGGGCCCATAGAAAGCACAACAACACTTATACCTGTAGATTAGTATTGCTGTCAACTTTGATTAGAGAAGCTTCTATTTTTTAGTATACTGTGGTTGATATATAGATTCATAACTAAACCAAGTGCTGAGAATAAGTCATTGTTGAGTGCTCAGCTCTAGATGAGACACCTGAATGACCTTTCCTTTCCCCAAGGTTCAAAGAGCATCATGGGTAGAAAGAATGTCAGAGCAAGAGGATGAGGCGGTGGGCAGTGAAAAGCTGATTCTGGACATGGCATGGCTGCCACACATACCAGCTCACAGCAGCTGTGGTCCCACACACAAGCATGAGCCAGTCAACATCCTGGCATGGAGGGATGAGACCCCACTCCTTGGCTGAGGCGTTATTGGCAGCTGTTGATTGCTGGAGGAGGAAGAGTCCTTTTTCCACACCCCAGCGGATGGCCCCACGTCCATATGCATGCTGGCAACACTAATGGGGCTTAGCAAATTATATTGAAACAGTGAAAGGACACGAAATTGGGAAGGAGCTGTGTTGAGGGGACTTGGAACAGGGCGTAAGGAGAGGCTGTGATCGAGGTATAGTATACATATATGAAAATTTCAGAGATTAAATAAAAAGAAAAAAATCTCTGTACGATGTAGCATTATTTCTGTGTACTGTATCTTCACTGATAGTAGGTGGCAAAGTGACTCATAACTCTTGCTCTAAGCATCTAGAAGAGTCAGATTTGTTTTGGGAGAAACTCTATGTCATCTTTTGTGAAAAAGAAGTACTAATAAGACCTCGCCAAGAGGATTTGTTTTATAAATCTCAAAAACCAATAAAGCTCACCATAATATCTCTTGATGAGTTTGCAGAACATGTCCTACACAGTGGAGCCGGCCCCAGAGAAAACCTTCAAGAATTTCTTTTGTGAGCTCAAGTGCAGTTACAGTTAGTGAAACTAATCTATGGAGATGACTCACTCAGTGGCAGGAAGTGACAGGGACAGGTGTGGGCCCCAAACACCTAAGAAAGAAGGGGCTGAAATCTGATGTGGTTTTCTCAGTGTCTTTATCAAGATGATCATCCTTTGTCTATCTGAATCCACTCAAGACATTGCCAATTAATGAGAAATCTGCGCCATGGATCATTTGGGTCTCTGGCACTAGAGATGCCTACTTTGCCTTTAAAGTGTGGATTAAGGAGGCACCGCATCTGATGTTATGTTACCTCTGATGTTAGAAGACTGACTCCCAGTTCCAGATATTTTTTTTTCTTACATCTGTATGACTTTCAGTAAATGCCACTTAATATCGTTAACCTTAATGACCTCATTATGAAACTGGATGGCATCACCTAACACCACCACCACTCTAGCGTTCATTGAGAGCTTCTGTGTGCTGAGAATTCTTTTATGTGACTTAGTTCTCCTTGGTCGCTTGGGTGTGGGTATCACTATATAGATGTGAAACTCGAGGTTTACAGAGATGGTATGTCATAGCCACAGAAGGGAGTCATGAGTTGGGGGTTTCAGTCTGAGGCAATCTGAGGCTTCCTGAATCTGCTCCTGAGCTCTTAAGTACTACACCAAGTATTGTACTTCAGAAACCAAAATCTTCTTTATTTTAAAGATTAACCCTCATTTTTAGTGTGTGTGTGTGCCACATGTGTGCAGGTGCCTGTGGAGGCCAGAAGAGGATGTTGGATCACCTGGAGTTAGAATTACAGGTAGTTCTGAGCTGTCAGATGTGGGTGGTGGGAACTGAACTTGAGTCTTCTGGAAGAGCAATAAGTGCTCTTAACCACCGAGCCATCTCTTCAGCTCCCATAACTAAAATCTTGATGTGAATGTCCAGTGTGAACTATCTCATGACTGAGTCATCATTTCTGAAGTTTCTGAAGTTTGTTTCTCTGCAATCTTGATTTGCCACTTAGTATGAGACCAAACTCCCATTCAAACTGTGTGATAACCTCGTGGCCGCTGCTTTTCTAAACATCAAGGGCTGCTGAGAATGACACAAATCATGACACTTTGGTGGGAACCCAGAGGAAGAGGTCTTTGATACATCACTCCACACAAAAATACCACTACAAAATGGCTTAAATAGGTATATATGCCTGCAGATATCTATCTCCCTCCAGTGAAACATTTATCCACATTGTTCAGAAACGAAACATTAAAGAAACCTAGAATAAGTAAGTGAACAAACAACCAACCCTCAGGCCTCCAAACAAAACCCACTCATATTATTGTCCTTAGAAAAAACCACTCAACATTTTGTGAAATATCAGTATTTCATAAACAGGAATGGGATTGTGCCTACCATTTGAACTGACATGATTCATATATCCACAGCAAGTACTTTTCACACCAGCCCTGTTAAACTTGTTTTAATGGAAGGAATCTGTTTCTATATTAAAGTTGCAAATGTACTTAGAGAAGTACAGAATAAAGACCTTAATTTTTGAATTGGTTAGGTGAACATCTCAGAGTCACTCACCTGTCAACAGCCAATAGTTTCTTACTTACCAGTCTGGAATTTTCTGTGTATGTAAGGCTCCCTCCTTCTTGCCCCCTCCCCCTCTCCTGCCCCATCACCACTAACATTTGCTGAGCGCATACTATTCTAGGAACTGTTCTAGGCACTGGAACACTCATGGGAGTGGCTCTTCCATAAGTCTGGTTACTTTTCCCTTAGGTGCAGCCATTTTGGAAATGTCATATTGAAAACACAGATGCTCCCATGGAGACAAAGAGGGTTGGTTTGCTAAGTGGGCACCCCTTTGTTGTGGCTCAGCGATCCAAGCTTGATTTCTGGGAAACCAGGCGATGTGGAAATGAAAGAGATTCCGTGTCTCTCATGCTGAGCCTCCACCACTCTGTCAAACAAGAGTTTTGCCAACTTGAAGGGGAAGTCTGAGACTGAAGTCAGCGGGCAGTTATCTGTGGGTTCCTGCTGTTACCCAGTTTCTGGTTAGCTTCAGTGAGTTGCCAAGAGAAGAATAGCTGTTTATGAGCAAAGCACCCACCCAATGGTTTATGGAAGGTACTACATCAAACACTGTCCTGTAGCTCTCTTTTCCTTACTTTGAGAGGTCTGGGGATGCACATGGCTCAGTGCATCTGCCTGGTACTCATAAGACCCTGAATCCACCACAAACTCTCGGTTTGAAGAAGAAGGGTCAGCATTTATCTTTTTGGCAGGAAGTACCCACAGGGCTTGTCTGGGGAGGTGGCTATGATCTAAGAAGGTCATGGTTAGAAAATGAAAGATCAACGAAGCATTGCTCTGATGAACCTAGATGGGCCAGTGTATGCTTGGGTAGTCAAAGTTCCATTGAACTTCCTTTATTGCTGAGATCAGGTGAGCAAAATGATGAACTGCTTGGGGCTCTTGGAAAGATGCTCTGCTTCTCATCAACAGCCCCCACCCCCAACAAAAATGTTTAGAACATAAGAAATCCTGATTTAGAAGAATGTGCTATATAGTCATCTTGGTGGGCAATGCCTTCTAGGTCCTTGGTTTCTCCTTCCTCTGTGGGTGTTGGCACAGGTGAAGCCAGTTAGGAGAGGAGACTAGTGATATGTCCACTACCTTCAGGTCTCTTCCACAGGAGAGCTGGGCTAAGCTTATAGAGAGAATTATTTTGGGGCCCAGCTGTGGAGCAATGGAGATGACAAGGCTTGAGAAAAGTAGGTGACATTTTTTCCTGTTTGAAAGGAAAATTGGACAATTATGAAATGAACTCAAGACGCTGCATGTGTGTGTTGCATGTATGTATGTGCATGTGCATATCTCTCTTTCTCTCCCTTTCTTTCTCTCTCTCTTTAGATATTTTCCTCTCTTGCTCTCTCCATTATTTTTTTTCAGCTCTCTTGTTGAATCTGGAGCTCACTGGTACGGCAAAACTGGCTGGCCACTGGGTGCCCAGGATCTCCTATCTCTGCCCCCAGCTCTGGGGTTGTGGATACCAATCATCACATGCGGATTCTATGTGGGTGCTAGGGATTTGAACTCAGGTCATTATGCTGGCATGGCAAGCTCTTCACTCACTAAGCCCTCTCCCCAACTTAAGGTACTTTGAAAGGAAACTGAGGTGCAGTGTGTGTAGCACATGCTATAGGCAATGCTCCTGCAAAAGTGTTATGGGATATATATATATATATATATATATATATATATACACACACATATATACACACACACACATATACATATATATTTCAAAAACACATGTTTTCATATTGTTTTAAAATATAGAGATACACAATTAAAGAAAATCCATTTACACATTCAGCTATGATCATCAGTATGTCTATCCATCCATTCATCTATTTAGTTATGTTTGGTTATTTTTGTGGGTTTTTATGTGCAATTATTACACGACAAAACCATAATGTACACTTGAGTTTATGATTTCTTTGTGCACACATGTGTATGTTATGAACATTTCCAAGTATTATTGAACGTGGTTAGCAGAACTTTTGAAAGATTCCGCTGCATGTTTTGGTAACAGTCCTGGCTCGTTTTATGTCAACTTGACACAAGCTGTAGTCATCTGAAACAAGGGAGCCTCAATTGAGAAAATGCCACCATCAGATCCAGCTGCAGGGCACTTTCTTGGTTAGTGATTGATGGGAGAGGGCCCAGCCCATGGTGGGTAGTGCTATTCCTGGGCTGGTGGTCCTGGGTTCTATAAGAAAGCAGGCTGAGCAAGCCATGAGAGTAGCCAGTAAGCAACACCCCTCCATGGCCTCTGCATCAGCTCCTGCTTCCAGGATCCTGCCCTGTTTGTGTTCCTGTCCTGACTTCCTTCAATGATAAACTTTATTTGAAAGTACAAGCCAAATAAATCCTTTTGTCCCCAAGTTTCTTTGGTCTTGGCATTTAATCACAGCAATAAGAACCCTATCTAAGACAGTAACTTTCAGACATAGTTTAGGACAGTCAGAATTATGGGGACTTATAACCGTGGAAAATATTATCCATCATTAATTAACTAATTTGATTACTAATTAATTATTACATAATATGCACTTCATTGGGGGGAAGAAGTAGTAGATATACATAGCCTCTATTCTTCCTGTTAAATGCAATTAAAACCTATGCTGGCTAGTTTTTGGAAGAGGGAACCTTGATTAAGGAAATGCTCTCATCAGATTCGCCTGTGGGCAAACCTGTGGTGAATTTCTTAAATTAGTGATTGATATAGGAGGGCCCAGTCCATTTTGCATGGTGCCAACCCTGGACTGGTGATCCTGGGTTCTATAAGAAAACAGGCTGAGAAAGACTTGAGGAGCAAGTCAGTAAACAGCATGCCCACCCCCTTCCATGGCCTCTGCATCAGCTCCTGCCTCCAGGTTCTCTCCCTGCTTGAGTTCCTGCTCTGACCTCGCTCAGTGATGGACTATGCCTGTAAGTATAAGATAAAAATAAACCCTTTTCCCTCCAAGTTGCCTTTGCTCATGGTTTTTATCACAGTAACAGAAAACCAACAGACAAAAACTGAACAAAATACATAACACAAATGAGGGCTTTGAAGCTTAAGTACTGAGAAGTCAGAAGAATCTCAGACCAAAGGAACACGGTGTTGGCAAGTTCCTTGATTTCTTTTTGCCTCACATACCCACCCCAGACTTAGAACTACCAGTGCTGGCCATGTAGACCTGTCAGCAGAAGTAGACAGTGGTACTTCCTCAAACCTTAAGACCCAGGAAAGCCAAAGACTAGCAAGGTAGAAGGACTTGATTAATCATTTTACCCCAACAACACCTAGAAAAATGCTTGACTCCAACTCCCCCATACCAGCAAAGGCCAAGTATGGATTCTGGATTTCTGCCCATCAGAAGCTGGGATGAGGTGTGTTACTCAGCCCCTGCCCCCTGAGTTGATATGTGTGACATCTATTAGGAGATGGGACTTCCATTCCTCACTGAGTAATAGTGAGGACTCTTCCCTTCCTCAACTCGCTCTTTGGTCTCAGTGGAGACTATATGGGGAGCCTGTATTTACAACCACAGCCACAGGTGGGTAGTATTAGAGGAGGCCTAGTGAAGAGTGGGGACCATTCCTGCCCCATGTGGGTACCCACCCTCCTACCTTGGTATCAGTGGTGGTCATCTGGAGAGAAGTCACTCCCACTCTGCCCAGAAGTAATGGGGAGCTCTCTGCACTTCCTCAGTGTGTCAGTGGTGCCCAGGTGGGAACCTGAACGTCTCTCCTTACCTGGGAGGAGTAAGAGGCACTCTTCCATCTGCTCCTAGACCTGTATTAGAAGAAACCAGTTAAAACAGGTTTGGGTAAGATCCTGAGCTACATGGTATTGTACCCAAGCTATCATTTTCTTTTTCAGTGAAAACCCCCCATTAAGCCAAGAAACAGGAAGATCTCAAACTGAAAACAGAAAGACAGGTGATACAAACATGGCCAGGTATGGTAGAACTTGGGACTTATGCAGAAGGACTTCAGTGAGTTCAAGGCCAGCCTAGGATGTGTAGCACAAGACTTTAGCTTAAGAAATAAAAACTAGGCACTAACGCCAAGCTGATGAGTTAGCAAAGATTTTAAATCAGTTGCCATAAAAATACTTTATTAAAATTATAAGCTTTACTAAAGCCACAAATTATAAAAATAACCTTAACCAGGAAATACAAAGTCTCAGAATAAAAAGAAAAATAGAAATGGAAAATTTCAAACTGAAAATATTATTAACTAAAATAAGATGCTTAATGGATAGGCTAAAAGCAGGATGGGATGGGAGAGGGACAGAGGCAAGAACAAGGTAAACAGAAGACAGAAAAATAGAAATTACATAATATGGTGATACTTTATTTGTGCTGAAATGTGATTTTATTTGTATGTTAATAAACAAAGTTGCCTAGGGGTCAGAGCTAATAGCAAGCCACAGCAGAAGCCATTCGGTGGTGTTGCTTGCCTTTAATCCGATCACTTTGCAGGCAGAGTCTGTGTGTTCAAGGACATAGCCATCTTGGAGACACACACCTTTAATCTCAATACCAACCACAGAGACCTGGAGGTCTGTATAGACAGGCAGTGACGAGGAGGTCATGTGGTTAGGTTTACAACCAATGAGAAGGCAGAACAGAAAGTCAATAAAAAGACAGACACACAGGAAGTAGATCTCTTTCTCAGGGGAAGGACAGCAGCAGCAGGAAGGGTAAGAAGGCAGTTTTTAGTCTCAGCTCTTACTACTGCTCCGACCTCTTGGGTCTTTAACTCTGCATTTGGCTCTGTGCTTCTTATTTAGTTAGACGGTTACATCTACAACATAATGTAAACAACACAGAGAAAAGAGTACCTGAAAAACAGTGATCAGTGCCTCATGACCATTGGAGAATATAGCAAGAGAGTTGATGAGTGTGTCATCAGAAATGCAGAGCAAAAAAAAGAAAGACATTGAGACCAGAAAAGAACTCTAATAAATAACCACCAACAATGTCTCCAATTTGGCAAAAGAAAGTCTTGCTATAAAGCCTACTAATTTGAGAAGAGGGTGAAATCCAGAGAAGATAAACCCAGAGACACCCAGTCAAACAAATCACAATCCTAGTTGAAAACTGGAGACAGTAAGATAATGCTGAATGGGAGAGGCATCCTACCCTTAAGGGATAAGCAATGAGAATAACTGCAGATTTCTCATCAGAATAGTATAGGAGCCAGAGGAGACCGGCATGGCATTTTTTTTTTTTTTTTTTTTTTTTTTAGGGTTTCTCTGTGTAGCTCTGCGCCTTTCCTGGAGCTCACTTGGTAGCCCAGGCTGGCCTCGAACTCACAGAGATCCGCCTGGCTCTGCCTCCC